AAGTGAAGAGTTAGGTTGTTGAACAGCACATGATATAGAAACTTGTGTTGTCTTTTCTAATATGTAGTATTACCATGGCTATCAATAGAGGCCGTAACCCTTATCACCCATTACAGCTGAGCATACTCGATGGGCCGTTGATGCTACAGGTGAACTTGCCTGTGGTTGATCAATACTAATTCACCCAAGGCCATGCAGTATTAGTTACAGGTGTAAGGATCAAGGTCACCTGTGGGTGAATCAAAACTAAATGACCGGCCAGATTACAACCCATAATACAGGTACATGCACGGCTGTACATAAGGAGATAATGCTGCGTCAGTAGCTAAAATGATTGTGTTATTGCAGGAGATAGAACTGGTCTTTAAACCACACCCCAAAGATCATGACCCAGAGACGGTGGCTCAGCAAACGCGCTACATTAAAACTACAGCTAATGCCTCAGGTGAGTCAACCTACTAACTGGGGTCCCAATGATTTTACTTCTGGTCATTATCAGTCTCCCTTTAAGTTCCACCTCATCTCATTTCTCATGAGATGATTCTCATTTTTCTCAAGAAGCATCTCAGCATTTTGTTTGTGAGGAACTTGGTTTCTAGGATATGTTAAATGCTTTTAGACATGTTTGGTTACAAGTCTGTATATGTATTTGTTTTTGGTTTGTATGTAGTAACCTTCTAGTTATGGTGTCATTTTGATCACGACTACTGAGTTATTTTGTCTCTTTGCCTGTAGTTGACCATCTTGCCAAGTATCTTGCCATGAGACTGGCGCTAGAGTCCCAACAAGAGGAAACTGGTTAGTGAGAAAAGTCTAATAGCCAAGTTGTTTTGGAAGTTAATTATAATAATTATTTCAGAGATAACTGCACTTACCTTAGCAGGTCTCGGAAAAAGTGCTGTCGGACCATTGTCCCAGACAAGTAGATTTCCTTTCTTTCAAGAAACTTTTCATTCTCACTTTCCCAATGGGCGAGGGCTCCACTCAGGCAAGTTATCTGCCAACTAAATCGTTAAAAGAGCAAACTAAGACTTCCCAGGGCAAGCAAAATTTGAGAGCTACTCATCCAAAGCTAAGCTGGAATTCAAGTTTTTTTCAAGCCCTGGCTTAGTTGTTCATACATTTGATGGCTATATGTCAATGTGGTTATTATTCTCTCCTCATTTTGGTAATTACATGTATATGTTTTTAAAAATATTATATGTATATTAATGACAGGTGGTAACACAACTGAAGAGACCAGTGAAGTCCCACAGTTCACAATATACATTGCAAGCATGCCAGGACAGTATACAGTGAGTAAATTGCATGTCTACTTGTACTTACAATCAACTGTGTGGCCAGTATATCACATTGTGTTCAAATGCTTTCCACGCAATGCCATTGACATTGTACAGGTAGATACCCACTGAAGTAAGCTTTCTTGAATTATTTCCTTCCATAAGGTGCAGTACACTGTACATGTTGTATACGCTGCAAGCCTATACAGCATTGATCAATATTATCTCCACAGTCTCCATCTGTGTTCGCTGTCCAACCAGGAATGTAGTTCAGACTCTAAGAGAGCCTGTTAGGGTGGGATATATTTTGTTAGATTCTTGCAGTGTGTAGTAATTGGTTAATTCCCTTTATTTCAACTTTTCAGCCTCTTCCCGGTTCAATGATATTGGATTTTGTCAATGAGAAGGTACATTGATTTAAGTCACATATCATGTGTTGGTGCACTATCTATCTATCATCTACATGTATCTATCTAAAAAATCAGGTTGATAGTTCCTCATGCAGTGTTGTAGGAAATACTACTAATAGTGTTAATAATATACATGAAAAAATTACTCGATTCTGATTGGCTGAGAGCAGTGCAGTTCAAGTGTAACACCAGTGCAAATTACACATGATTGTAATTCTGGATAATGATTGGCTGAGAGACAATAGGAAATTTTCGAAGCCAATGATATTACATAAAATTATGAGGAAAATTTTGTGCGGAAACTTTGAAAAAGGTTTTCTCAAATGAGGAAAAAAGGGCTTCAAGAAAGGTCTTCCGGCACTTCCTCCATGCAAATGTTTTCATGTTTATAATTATTATTATTAATAAGTAATCATACAGTTTTTCTCATTCAATTTGGAATTAATTTGCACGTGTGAGTTTTTCAAAAAGCTGAAATTGCACGCGCCAAAGCGGCCCATGCAATTGCAGCTTTTTGAAAAACTCACTCGAGCAAATTAATTCCAAATTGAACTCAAACCGTATGATTACCTATACTTATTTGTTTATTTGCTTGCTTGTTTCTCTGCAATAGGATTACTGTACTTAGTAATAGGTATCATACTTTCAATTGCTTACATTTTGTTGATTTTGTTGTTCAGTGTTGTTGTTGTTGTTGTTGTTGTTTGCAGTATTGGAAAGTGAACAAGCCATTGGAGATGTATTATGCCCTTACCAAACCACAGAGCTGACAGCATTCATAAGCATTATCATACAGACCTGCCTCAATTTTGTCTACCACAAAAAAAAGCTCTAAACGAGTGACAGGCTGCTGTTTGGACACTTCCATTCTTTTTTCGTTTAACTCGGTTAACAGCATAGGCTCCTTGCTGTAGTTTTGTAAAGTACTTAAAGAAAATAATATGCATTCTGCCTAATTTGCAAAGGTTCTTCATGTTTTTGTTCTGAGTTTATAATGCAACCTGACTTTTTGCGATTCACATTATGTTGTAAAAATGTGTCAGTGATTGTCAGGTAACTTTAAGTCTAATTTATATTGAGCCTCTCTTAGGAGCTACAGGAGACACTTTGATGTTTTAAAACCCTCTAAGTAGACCCAGTTAAATGTTTGTCAAGGGTATATCTTACTGGGTAACTGTTACAAATTGGCATTTGAAGTTATGACATGACCTGTTTTGGGAATCTTAGTTTCATCTCTCTCATATTGCTTGGCAGTCTTAGCTGAAATGTTGATTATGCTTGATCCTGTATCAGAAAAGTATTGTACCTTTGATTACCTTATTTGTTGCAATTACTTTGTCAAATAAAGTCATTTGTAGCCTGTGTGTATACATTTACCAAACAGTTGCATTCACAAGGGTGTTTTGTGAGGTTTTATTATTCCTAGTTTTTATTTTGTTTTTTACAGCTTAGTTACATTGTATTTTATTAGTTATTTTATTTTACCCATGTTTTAAAATCATTGTAAAGCGCTATTGGATAGCGGTAGAAATAGCGCAATATAAATAAAGTATTATTGTTATTGTTGTTAGCAGTAGCAGTACCAGTACCAGTACCAGTACCAGCAGCAGCAGCAGTAGCAGTAGCAGTAGTACATTTGTTAAATCTCCCTTGTAGAACATTTGTTTTTCTCCCAGCTCCCATTGCCCTTTGTGAATAGCTGACGTTTTGCATGTAGTCTTGCTGGGTCCCAGATAGCCTCTGAATCTGGTTCACAAACCATAGAGAGTGGTGCTGGTTATGGAGCCAAAGCACTCGACTTCAAGGAATGATCTTGCCAAAGTGAGCTAAATTTCAGCCGTCGCCCTGGGTATAAACCCACTCCCAGAGAGAAGCCCCTCTTCAGGAGTGGACTCAAGGAGAAGGCTGAAATTCAGGCTGTTTGCCGGGAGATTTCCGAACTTTGTGGGATTTTGTCAGGGTGTTATTGTAGTGTAAAGGTTTATAAAATCGTACCATTTTTAATTTGCTCGATATTATTACCCTCGATAGTTACAGCACTTGATGTGACGAAAATGTTGTATGTCATCGCACAGAAAACAAAATAAGTAGAGAAGTTTGTCATATTTGTATGGGACTATACATGTGCCTGTACTTTAATACTGTAATTATTTTGGTCTAAAACGAATTAAACAGCGGACCCCAGGACTACCCTTGCGGGAAATTCCGGTATCCCAACCCTCCGTCCCTTCCTCGTATTAACCGGAAGTGACGCTAACCACACGTGGAGAGTATATGATGTCACGATTGAATGATGTCGAATATTAGCTCGGCAAGTGAAAATTGTTTCGCAAAGTTTTGAAGACGCTGAACTTAAAATCTGAAATCACGATTTAGACTTCTCGGCAGCCAGTCTAACAGGAAATCAATAGAAGACGGACATGTTTTGGTGGGCTTTGGAGTTGTTGAGCAAATACTTGCCAGAGATCGGACTCACTGGAGTGTATGCAGTCGCTATATTAACTTTCATTGGCTTGTGTTCCGATCGGCTGCGGCACAAAAAGAAAGAAAAAGACGTCCTTGATTTCGACGATCAAGTTGGAAGGCGTCTGGGAATATTTGAAAGCATGGTTGATGATCTACACAGTTGCGGTGGAAGTTTACTGACGATTGTTCTTTTGTTGAAGTCCAAAGTTGCCCTTCAGCCGACAGTGGTGCGAGAAGTGTTGGAACTTTTGCCCAAAAAACATTCCATTCTTCGCATGCGAGTCAAAGAAATCACCGTGAAGGGAAAAGAGAAGCCGCTGAAGTGTTTTATTGAGATGGATGAGCCATTTACCGTGGATTTTTATGTCAAAAATAAACAAGCGAGACATTGGGAATCTTCGTTTGAAAAGGAACTCTTGAGTCCGTTCCAGGCCTCGGACGGTCCCCTGTGGAGAGTTCGAATGCTCAAGGAAGAATTTGAAACAACAGAGGGGTGGTACAGTAACACATTGCTTTTCACTGCACACCAGCTTATTGCAGATGACACGTCTTTATTGAAGCTTTGTGACGACTTTTTAAGTCTCTTGAACACAAGGCACAACAATAATTACTTACCAAGTTCTGATGAAAGCATGAAATTAATTTCTGTACCCCTGCAGGCTTCCCTTTCAGATCTTCTAAAGCGTCACATAACCACGCCACAGCTGGACAGGTTGTTGCTTGCTCTAAAGCCAGTGTTCACTCGGTTGCTGTATAAGATTGTGGGTAAGCCAAGAAATCAGTTCACAGCTGTCATTCCGCCAACCAGCTTGCGTGATCCTCGTACACTGAAAAAAACCTGCATCCTTCCAAGAAATCTGCCAAAAGAAGCAATTTCAAGATTTGCGATGAATTGCAGAGAGAACAAGTGCACTGTGCATGGAGCATTCATTGCTGTGACAAGCATTGCCATGGCAACAATGTTGCAGAATGGTGAATTAAGAATACCAGTGACTATTCCATTGAACTTTAATGTGAATGTCAGACTGGAGTGCAACCCACCAATTACAGGCGATGATCTGGGTTGTTTTTCTTTGGACTGCGAGCTTAAGATGCCTGTGCCAGTATTGAAAGAAATGCAAGAAGATTTCTGGAAATTTGCACAGGAGTGTACAAAACAGGTGCACCAAGCTGTCACGCAAGGCAGACATCATTCTTCTTTGAAGCTTCTTCACAACTTGGATGTGGACCTTGCAAGAAAACTTCACAAAGCCTCCAAAAATAAGAAAACAGCAGGTCGTTTAGATCCTTTGTTTAACGTATCCAATCTTGGTCGCTTCAACTTTGGAAAAGAGGGTGAAACAAAGTTTTACGAGTCTAGAGGAGTTTATTTTGCCAGTGCTGGACATAATTTTGGTCCTGTGTTTGGAAACAACATAGTCACTATCAATGATGAACTGTTTTGGAGCTTTGTGTATTATAATAATGTGGTTACCCATGACGTCGCATGCCAATTTACTGACCTGGTTTTCAGTACACTAAAACTTGTTTCATGAAGAAAGTCTTCAAGTGTCTCGATTAAGCTCATCATGAATTTATTATAGGCTACCTTTAGGCTCAATTTTCAGTGGAATTTTTTTGTTTTATTCAGAGATTTGTTATTTTTTAGTTCACTGTCAAGTCAGCAGGGGTGGGTGACTATCAATTTGTTAATTTTTACACTTATACCATTAGAGAGCTGATGATTTACAAAGAAGCCAACTTAAGCCAAGGGAAATGCTATAGAGTCATGTACTGCAAACAAAAATTAATATTGAGAGTACATAAGAAGGTGATTCCTATGTTTTTCAAGTGCTCTTTAAAAATTTACTTGTCACATGGCATTTTGGGGGTTCAAAAATAACATTCTATAAAACCAGATTTCTTTGATCAAACAGTGAAACATGACATTTGAAAGAACGATCCCAGCCCCTGACAGTATACATTTGGAGGGGTAGAAACTTCAAAATATTCGTGTAGATGATATGTATTTTTTATTAGAAAAAGGCTCCTTTTGTTGTAATTTTCCAGTGAGTAATCTTTTCTAACAGACTTAAACATTTTTTATGAGAAAAAATGTAATATTATTTGGAAAAACACTGTTGCTATTGTAAAGCAATATATGCTTAGGTACAGATGTATTTAACAGGTAGCATTTCAGCAGAAGAGTTAAGTTTGCAAGCTTAGAGAAGGGGATAGAGAGGGGAGAGTCCAACCTCATTTTCAAAGTCTCTCTTTCCACCCACAGGAATTAGAGAGATGCAGGTCTGAGGTTGGATTATCAACTGGGCGTCATGGAAGGAACGGAAACTGGGATTCTAACAGAGCAACCCCTCCTTGTTCCCATGTCTTTCCCCCCCTTCCCCCCCCCCCNAATGGGTATGTGGAATAAAGCCCTGAGGGGCTTTTGGAAAACTTTGGGGCACATAGGATTGAAATACCTACAGGCCTCTGGTTTTAGTTATTGTTTCAAAAAATTGTAATTACAACTAGTTTTTTTAGACAGTTATGAAGACAAGAGAGGACTGTAACAACTGCTGGGAGGTATTTGAATGCTGGTTACCTCCATGTTTTGCAAAAGTCACTTAGAGCTTTATTCCACGCATACCATATTATGGTGTTATGTTGTGTTTGAGATTATTTTTGAAGAGGTAAATAATGACTAGCTGATTGTTTATAATGTTCAGTGTCTGATCTGTGTGAACTTGAGCAAACAAGAAGAGCTACTGTAACATAGGAAGTTTTAAGTTCTCCTAAATCTTAACCATCCGATATCAATAAGAGTTAATTAATATTTAATTGTTGATATTTAATTAATTTATAATTTAATTGTAGCACTTTTAAGTGTTGTACACTTGCATCTGAAAAAGGATAAAGTTTGATTTGAGGTTTATTAATTGTAATATTCATCAAGTTACAAAATCCTTCTGAAAGCCCTTTTGAATAGCTTTCATTCAAACCAAGTGTGACC